TTCGCAGCTCGGTGTCCGGAATCAGGCTGCTATCGAGTGGTGGCGTGATGTCTTGATGCCTAGTCCTAGGGCCTGGGCCCAAGCTGACCTGACCTGACCTAGTTGCGGTGGCCTCGCAACGAGAGCTGCGTAAACATTTGCAAACGGGGCAGGAAATGCGAACCGTCAGCCATATTCATCGATTTGTTTTTAGCGACAGGAGCAGCAGGCAAAGTGGCACAAAAGGACATTCAACTCGATCTCAGGTGCTTCTGCGTCATTAACAACCTAATGCGACATGCATACATATGCATAAACATACACACATACGCATGTATTGGGGGCAGCAGAAAGTTTCAGCTCAGCTCTGCCTGAAGTGTGCCTGGCAGGGCAGGGCTTAAATGTTTTAGCCAAAACTAAACCAGCACAAGTGTTGCCGTTGTTGCTGTTGTTGTTGCAGGTAACGAGAAAGTGTTGTTATATAAAGCAGAGCATGCCACCGAGAGGCTCCGTGCCCTGGAGGCAACTAAGCGTAAAACGCAATTGACCGCAACAATTTTAATTAGCCCAAAAGTTGAACCCGAAAAAAAAAAAACAGAAACCAAAAGTTATGTCAACAAAAAGAAAAATCCGCCAATGAGAAAAATATCTGAAGTTGAAGATTTCAGCACTTATAAATTAGAAGCTTAGTATCCAAAGTCAAACAAAACAGTTTAGATAAGATTCTGTTATTGAATCTAAAAGCTTATTTTGCATATAAGAATAAGTTTGCATTTTCTAAAGTGAAAGCCAACCAAACAAAATGAGGGTTTTGTGTTCCGTGGAATGCTAAGCTAAATGTTTGTTATTTTATTTATAAATAAGATTTAAATGGTTATCCTAAGATAGGTAGAAAGCGCCCTTCGGTTAATCATAATACAGCTCAGAAATAAATTCAATAAATTCACACTGCGACCTGCCAAAATACTTTTACTAAACTCTACTAAAACTCGGTTGCAAGTTTAAAGCAGCTTTTTTCTTGAAGTGCCAAAAGTCTAATGGCTTTCCGCTATTTAATGAGAGAATCATTTTCTAGTCTTAATGCAAGTGACCTTTGAAATTTAGCAAAGCTCTGCGGAAATTGCATTTAAGCCTTTCGCAACTTTTCAAGTTCAAGTAATTGCAAACGAATTTCTGTTGCAAGAAGTTAACAGCTTGTGAGAGCGATAAGATTAGTCAGAAACTCGAATATGATTGATAACACGAGGTCGACAAATGTTCCCAGTACTTGTTAAGATTTCTGTCTGGAATATCATTTCGATTTATATAAACCAGAGACAACACATAATGAAATTGCTTGGCGCATTGCTGGCGGCAATGGAAATTAATTAATTAAAGCAAAACGCAAACAAACAAAAACAAAAGCAAATTGTGTGCGGTAACCGCCGGCAAAATGTTGCCACAGATTTCTGTTATGCACCATTGAAGAGGCAACTGCTGAGGGCGCCTCAAAGATGCCGTCAAATATACAAATATGGCAAACAATTTGCGCTGAGACAACAAACGGCCAACGAAAATGAAAGCAAGTTTTTAAAACCGCATTGAAAATACACTGTGATATTTTATCATTAGCACAACAAAGGCTAAAATCCGAAAGAGCAACAAGAAAAAAAGGTAATAATTATTATTGATTATAATATAAAAAAAAAAAATGACAAGCCAAATGATAGTAAATCTCATTAGTAGTATTTTTAATGGGTCTGCCGAGATCCGAGTTATTTGAACGTCAGTTAGATCATCTTGCTTATGAAATTTGTCAATTGAGTCTGAGTTGCATTTAAGTGCGAGCGAGACAAACGCATCCGTTTAACTTTCAATTGCCGCACTGACGCGATGGTGAGATTGAGATAAAAATAAAAGCAAGCGGGGGCGAGAAATAAGGCAGCGCACGACGTGTGGGAGCGTTTCCCATTGTTGCAAGTGCAAGGCAACAAAAATCTGTTTATGTGCGATTGTTTTCATTTTTATAAAAAGTCTCAACAATTTAGTTAAGTGCGACAACGAAAAGTATGAGCAATATATTTGAGCGACACTCGGACACGGGGTAGCGTGGCCGAGCGGTCTAAGGCGCTGGTTTAAGGCACCAGTCTCCTCGGAGGCGTGGGTTCGAATCCCACCGCTGCCAAGTGATTGGGATTTTTTTTTTATTAAATTGAAAAAAGAAATGCTCAGCAAACTTTGCATCGATATACGATCTTTGTTTTGATATATGCGATAGATATTTTGTACAACATTCCTCCAAGCCAGGTAATTAAGCACTTGCACGTTTGCATTTAAATTCTTTTGTGCTATCCCATTTTCTTTTACTTGCAAGCTAATCAGTTGCTATGGTCATTAGTTTACAACACACTCTGAGTCATTAGTATACCTTATAAGTACATACACCGACTTGTATATGACTATAACTTATATATATATATACATATGATTTGTCAGGCAAGCTTTATGTGATTCATAAGTGTTTGTCGTGTTCTTTATATCGCGTCTCACCTTGCTGGCAAATAAGGTGTCCAGGTATCGTGTTTTATTAGTCATTAGCATAAATTTGGCTAGACATGGATAAAGTTTCCTTTCGTAATCAAATTATCAAGTGGAACAAGGTAACGCAGCGATATTGTAGGCAAACTCAATTTTTTCACAAGTTTAAATAAAGAGAACCGTGGACGATCGATTCTGACCTCGATGCATGATAAAATGCAAATCTATAATATGTATTATTCATTAGCCGTAAAATGCAATTCGTATTTCTATATTTTAGGAATCACCTTATGGTGATTTCATATTTTATCACTGATAGTATTATTTTTTTATTTTATTATAGCAGTTTTATCGTATCAGTGATAAGTGTTAACTAATTGCACAGCTCACGTTGAAGAAAGTTTAAATACGCTATAGAAGAACGAAAAAAAAAAAAAAAAAAAACTTCCCCCACACACATGACCAGACTTTGGCCGTGCCGCACTTGACGCGTGTGAGAGGCAGCGGTGTTTGCCAGACTTAAAAACAAATTCGGTTGATCGCAAATAAAAACAATAAAACAGCTGTCCAAATCGAAGATAAAGATGAAAACAAAGCCTTTTCGTATTTATTTTGCTGTTGTCTTCTTTTTGCGCTCTTTGTCGCACGCCCGCAGACGTCATCAAGTGTCTTGTCCTCTATTTATACACATTGTCTACTCATTCGCTAAAACCTACCTCTCTCTCCCACTCTCACCGTCTCTCTTGCTCCCGCTATTGACGTGTGGTCGACATCTTTGATAAGACAACGGCAACGAAATTGCACGCGCTATAAATTTCATTGATAAACAAACTCAGCGCGCAACAAACAGGTGCCAACATAAGAGGAAGTGGTGCATAAAGCATAGAGAAGCAAGCTACCAAAGCGCAGCACATAATGAAATACATAAATAAATATTTATGATCATTTTAGTGTATGTTCGCACGTACATGTATGTATGTACATATATACAAAAGTGTTTGAATGTATTAAAAGGTTATTTGGCAATATTCGCTTATATGCATAAAACAGGTTTTTTTTTCGAAGAAGCTCGAATTCTGTATATGCGGCAAATGCGTAAATTCTTTTTCCCTATATTCATCTGCTGTCTCACTCCCACACACACACACAATACCGAGTATACAGACATGCCGAACGTTCCAATCAAATCACATGCCTCTCTACATCAATTTTTTGTAAACGGTTTTCGCAGCGTGGGATCTATTTTGTGTATAGAAATAGACAAATGGCGGCCGGGTGTCAAATTGTTGAACTTGATGGGATTATGATTATGATTATGAATAACTTTTTAATCAAGCATAAGAAATACCAAAAAGCATTGAACTTTTAACTGAAATTAACATTCCCAAATTTGATTATTGCTTCAAATCAAACAATGCACGGAATGAATCCAACACGCGCAGAGAAAAGACATGAGAAACGACGAAAAATAAACTAAACAAATTAATTTATTCAAACTGCGCACGGGACTCTTAAAACCGACAACACAAATACAATATTTACTTTTGTATTGCTACGGGCACAAATTTGCGCATTTGTTTTCATCTGCTTGCGTCGGCGTTTTGGCATTTCCCTAACTTATTAATTTTATTCATGCCATTGCCATACCTAACATTCCCATGCGAGTTATGCTCTCCCGCTTCCACAGCCTGGGCCGCGCCTAAGCGCGAACAACTGCACTCTGTTTGTATTTGGTCACACAAATCCAATGGCCACACACTGCGGCCACACTGAGCACACGCACACAGTAGAATATGTATGTACGAATGTGAATGTGAGCTGTAAAGTACGCACAAAGGGCATACAACGCAATTACTTGGAAGAGGCAACAAGACAAAACTACTTGACAAGGACACGAGCATTTGTAAGGAAGGGAGGAAGCGGCACAGAGTCTATGTCCATGAAATGCGTAGAGACAAAAGCAACAGAAAAACGTTGTACAGCTGTTTTGTCAAGTACTTAACAGCGGTTCACATGAATATTTAACAGTTGCATTAAAGGAAGCGCACAATTTGTTTAACTGCCAGGCAAAACGTTATGAAAATTGATTTTCGCTGTTGAACAAATCAAATAAAACGACTAAACGCAGTCAAGCGTCAAGCAACAAATGCGCATGCAATATACTAAATAAATATGTAAATGTAAAGTGAATAACTAACGCCGCCTTCCTGTAAAAGGCTTTGCCAACTGTCAAACTAATTAATAGTGCATCAGTGAGCAAGAGAGAGGGGGAGGGGGAGGGCGAGGAAGAGGGAGATAGAGCGCCACAAAATCAACTAACAAACAAAGACCAGGGAGACAAAAACAACAATAAAACTTGTCAAGGCAACAACAAACAGCTGAGCATTGTTGTATTTTTTTTCTTTCTCTGTTTGTTGTATGCGCTTGGCAGTGCCTGGCACGAATGATGACTGAGGGTGCGGGTCAAGGGGGGGCACACACGTGCATTTTGGGTTTGGTCTCACCTGAATTTGCGGGTCCAGCTCGCTGTCTTCAGTATTTGACATTTTGCACCACGAGCAATTTGTTGCTAGCCAAAGCCAAGTTTTTAATTTGCGACAACCTTTTAATTTCAATTTCGTTTCACTTTTGTCGCCAGCTGCTGCTCTGTTTGCGCCTTTTTCAATTAGTTTGCATTCGCATTTTCACTTGCATTTATTGGCCAGCGTAACTATTTGCCTTTTGCTCTGCCTGGGGCGCTGCTTTGTGGTAGAATTTGGTTGGGCAATAATCACAAGTGCGTCTACATGTGTGAGTGGGTGCTGGCAAGATTATGCAAATACTTTTCACATTGGGAATTTGATGAATTTTACGAAATGTACGAATAATAATAGCATTTGTTGTTTTGCGTTGTTTGTGTGATGCAAGAAAGCGAACGAAAGGGGCCGACGCGAACGGAATCTTTACTTCAGGATATATATTGAGATTAATATGTATAACTGTGGGTACACAATTCTGCTATTGTTTTATTTTTTAATTATTTAAATTTAATTTGTTTGTTATTGTTGATATAAATGCTAAACACTATCTTAAAATTATTGGAGCGTCCGAACGCGGTGTAAGTGAAAAGCAGACTCAGTGTGACCGTAAATGGCTAGCACTAATATACCACAAATGGTTGCGATTATCGATACCCATCGATATAGGTCGTAATATTGTCGTGACTCAATAAAAGGTGGAGTCGTTCAGTGCGTGAGGAGCAATTCTGTTTGTATAAATAATGTTAAGTGAGGAGTCGTATGTAAAGTGTGGAGTCAAATTGCGTATTACTGTTAATAAAAACATACCATTCCAAATTGAAAATTGTAGGCGCGAAATTTAAAATGTTGTTTTCTGCTTCCATTATATGCTTTGCAATTTATTTTGAACTCTTGAATAGAAATATAGCGTTCACTTTTACTATGAAATTTTATTTTAATTGTTTTCGTTTTGTTTTGTCCATTATGTGCTTTACATGTTGTGTGATTTCTTTTGCATTTCAGTTAATATATATATATATATGCATATGCTTTATGTATACTTATATGTTTTTTTTTTTATTCAATTTCAATTACTAATGATATGCGCACCAAAACAAATTAACTTAGCGCAAAAAACTGCATTACAAATGAAAATTTCGAATGGAAACGAAAACAATTCATTTTTCACTAAAAAACTTTTATTTAAGTAAATTATAAAGAAAGGCAATAGAAGTGTATACCACGGAATTTCTATACGTTATTTAGCATTAATGCCCGTATTTGCTTGCTTAATGTAACGCTAATATATATATTTAAATATATATATATATATAATTTGTATATTTAATATAATGCATTTTATAGTTTATATGGAATAACACTTAATTATACATTGATTTTCATATAGATTTTGCTTGTTTCGCCTTCTTTTGTTTTGTATACATATTTTAAATATATATAAAACTCAAGTGTTCACTTTAAATGATGCTTAAACAACTGAATTTGTAGTTTGATTTGATTTCTAGTTGTAACAAAACTCTGTTTTTTTTTTTTTTTAACAAAATACAAATATTGGTTAACTAAATGTTGCTTAGACGTTTACTAAATAGTTTTGTTGCTTTTGTTGTGTGTCTTTCTATTTTCCTGCTGTTGCATTTCTTGTTCAGTATCAAACCTCTAAATAGTTGCCATATAAATGATTTATTTGTTTATATATTTATTAATGTATACATATATATATATTTTACGCTATATATTAACTATGCAATTGTTGCATATATGCAATTTGCGCTTACTTTTCATTATCTTCAGATATTCATTATTGTTTGCTATCATTTTGTTAATACACTTTTAATTATTTCTGCTTTTTTTTGTTGTTAACATTCATAGGGAAAGTACAAAAGTATACGTGTTTCGAAAGCTTTTCTTTTTTAGTTCATCGAGTTACATTTAATACACACCTAAATATTGTGCTTACAAATCATAAACAATGTATAAAACTGGCCTCGTCCAAATAAATTGTAAAACTAAAACATTTACGAATTGGCATATTCATGTTACAGCGCGAACAAAAGTAAATGTTTGTTCTAATGTTTTGGAATGTCTGACAATTAAAAAGTTATGATTACTTTCCAAATTATATAAGGAAATTGAATGCAATGTGTGAAATAAAAAAATGAAAATACATGTTACTTTAAATAGTAACAAATAATTACAACAATTGGTTTAAGCACAAGTTCAGCCATAACATTCTCTATACCAATATCTTTTAAAATTGTGCCTCCCTTCGTGCGTTTACAACTTTTAACTTAATCAATAAAATTATAGTTAGTATTGAAATTAGAGACTAATATTTAAAACAAGAACTGATAATTGACGCGGACACCAAACAAACAACGATTGGGCGTAACTATAGATACGATTACACAAAGAATTCAGCTACACTACGTGAATGTTTCTCGTTCACAATTGGGGCACGAGTTGCGGGAGTTCACCTTAAGGAAACTTTGCTATCGGATTGTTATTGTTGTTGTTGTTGTTGTTGTTGTTGTAGTTGCGGCGCGTCCTTTACTCACTGTCAATGTTGAGGCCCACGCGCTTCTCCTCCTCGAGCATGGCGTCCAGTTCATCTGTTAAGTTGGCCAACATATTGCCAATATCGTTGAGCACATTGACCGATACCTTGGGCGGCACTGTGCCGACAGCGACGGGCGCAGCTGCCGTTGCAGCTGGCTCTGGCGATGCTCCGGATTCGGGTCCACTGCCTGGCCCACTAGCCAGTTCCAAGGTGGGTGAGCGCAGATGCAAGGCGCTGCTGCCGGCACTCGCTGTGCTGTTCATGCTGTCGCTGCGCGCCATTGTTGCATCGTGCAGCGAACTGGAAGATTTCAGCGAGTGGAACGAGTGCGCAATGTTGGCAATGGTGTTCGTCGACGACGAACTGGAACTGGAGCTGGAGGAATGCAAGTGCGTGCCGGCCGCATGCTGTCCAGCACTAGCTCCGCCCGACTGCAGCTCTGGCCTATTGAGCAGACGCTGCTTGATGGTGCCGGTGTTCTCATTGGCGAACGGTATCGTGTCAATCGAATCGATGCTGGAGTTTGACTTATTGTCGTGATATTTCTCGCAGTGTATCTCGGCGGTTGTCTGCTGTATGGTCGCATAGTTGGCATAGATCGGCTGCTGCTGCTGCTGCTGTGAATTAACTCCGCCCGTCTGTTGCTGCTGTTGCCAATGCTGCGCCGTGTGGCCATAGAACATGTGCTGCGACTGTGCCTGCTGCTGCTGCGGCTGCTGTTGGTTAGCTCCACCGGCAGCAGCCTGCTGCGCAGCGTCCACGCTCAACTGACGCGAGTTGCGTATGCTGCAGTGACGTCGCGGTGGCTCGGGCGCAATCTTCTTGCCCGTCAAGGGACTGCCGCTCAGATAGGACTGCAAGAGCGAAAAGATGTTAGCATTGAGCTGTACCAAAAGGCGTCACGTCTCAACTGATACTTACTGTTGCGCCATCAGCACCACCGGCTGTCACATACTCTGCCGCCGCAGCCGCATTCATATAATGATGATGTTCCAGTGGCGGCATGGTATTCAGCACGGCTCGTTGGAGTATGCCACGTTGCTGGCGTGGCAAGGTGCCGCCGCCCTCCTCGTAGAGCAGCTCGCGCGTGGCATCGTTGGTGGGTGTAATGTCGCCATCGTCGTAGGAACGTCGCCAGGCCATGGCACCGGCATTGCTGCCCAATAGACGCGCCGCCGCCGCCTGCTGCTGCTGTTGTTGTTGTTGTTGTTGCTGCTGCTGCTGCTGGAGCAGCTGATGATGTTGCTGCTGTTGAAGCGTGGCAGCTGCTGCCATTGCTGCTGCGGCTGCCGCTGTCGTGGGCGGCCCAAAGTGTCCATAGTCCGTGGTGGTATAGTGGCTAAAGGTCAAATGGCTGCGCGTGCTGTTGTCGTGTATATCCTCGAGCGATTCCAGGCTCTTGCCGCGCGGCTGACGCACCTGCAATGGATAGCACAGAGTGCATTAGTTACTCGCTGACTGACTCACAGTGGCACTTAAAGTTCAAGGACGAAAGTCGTCCATTTGTCGAGCACCTCCCAACCCACCAATCGACCGACCGACCGACCGCACACCCACCTTAATGAGCACCACATCGTTGCCGTTACAGCACTCGTGATTGCTGCCCGTGCAGTAGTAGGCATCCCCCCCACTGGCGGTGCTTAGGCCACCGCTGAGCCCGTTGGCCATGGTATTCACATTCGCGCTGGTCGCATAGATCTTTGTGTCGTCCCAGGAGACACGCGTGGTTGGCACATAAGATGGCGTACTTGGTATGGGCACATTGAATTGCCAAGGCTTGCGCTGGTATTCCTAATGGTTGCCATTAACAAAATAAATATGCAAAGAAGTGAGAAATGTAACAAAATTAGAATAACATAAAAAATTATAAATTAATCTTTAAAAATTAGAATATCATTTTAAATGTATCATTAAAATATTAAAACAATAATAGTATAAATCAAAATACTAGAATAAAAATTGTAAAAATATTGGAAAATGTAAGAAATACTTAAAAATAAATATTTAACTTAGATATAATATTTAAAATTAGCTTAGATATCATATTAAATTAAATAATAAATAATACTTAACTAAGAATTAAATGTGCATAAAAACGATTTCAAATAAAGACATTAAGGAATAATTGAAGAAATATAAAAGAAAAATATATATAAAATAGTACTCAAAAACTATTCCGCTTGACGTCATTCTTAGCAGTCACGCCCCTACTATATAAATGCCGCAACCATTAATTTATGTCTATTTCTATGTGCATGTCCATGATAGGGGCTGGCTCTTACCTGTTGCTGATAGGCATTGGTGCCGCCCGGATTCCATTTGCCGCTGATAATGTCCTTGACCCGCTTGATGGCCAGCAGTATTTTCTTTTGATGTCCCAACTTGACAATGCCAATGTCCTCGAGATCCTCCCAAGTCACTTGGGTGACATCGCGCACCGTCTTGTAGTTCTGCTCGAGCAGCGGCTGTATATACTCCTCCAAGCGCAACAGCTGCAGCCATTCCTCAATTGAGCCCTGTGGAAAAATATAATTGTTAGCTATTAGTTTATGTCGATCACATTTGTGTGTGTGTGCGTGTGTGTGTGTGTGTGTTGACGGCTAATCACATTTGATTAGCAGCAACCCCATCACACGGGCATTGAAGCTACAATTTGTTGTCCATGAACTAATTCCAGGCCAAAGCGCTGATACCACACACCGCATCAGTTCGCTAGGTTCCGGGGGTTTCGGGTTGAGGTGGAGCTGCGGGCTGTGGAGCCGCTTCTGGTTGGCGGGCACTGCGAGCAGTGCGTTTTGTCTCGCTGCTGATGCGAGCTCGTCGCGGCTCTAATCAGTTGTAATTGATAAGATATGACATAAATCGCGTCAAAGCACAAGCATAAAGAAACGGGTAAAGAGACAAACTCGTCGCCGTTGCTGCTGCTGTCAGCCATTAAACGGTAGCCAAAGTTTCCATAGACACACACGCACACACACACACACACACGCAACGGCAGACAGTCGAAAATCATCAACATCAGCATTTTGTTATACCCTG